AAAAAAAAAAAAAAAGCAAGCAGACAGCCCTCAGAATGGGAGAAGATATTTGCAGGTTATGTCTCTGATAAAGGTTTAATAACTAGAATCCATAGAGAACTCAAATGCATTAGCAGGAAAAGAACAAGTGATCCTGGGGGATTCTGGGAATATGGCTGACTGAAAGCAGCCCTTGTCAGAGGCTCCTGAGCAAAGGAAGAAAAACTGGACAGAATCAGAATCTATGAAGCCAAAGATGGGGAGCTGAGCCCAGAAAGAAGTTCAGCAAGCTGTAAATCCAAGGAAGAGCATTTAAGAACACAAAATACAAGTACAAAGCAGGCCCCAGAACTGTTCGCTAGAGCCGCACACCTCCTGCGTGTGGCAAGTGGCCCCAGAGGAGCCTCCAGCTCCAGGCAGGCACAGAACTACTTGCTAGAGCCATGCATACCCTGCCAGTGGCAGTGGAGGAGTCCACCACTCTGGGCAGACCCAGAACTGCTTGCTAGAGTTGCACAACCCTCCAGCAGCACAGGAGATCCCCACTCCAGGCTCCTGCCCTGGGCAGGCCCAGAACTGCTTGCTAGTGCCGTGGTCCCACAGGCAGCAGTGGAGGAGTCCTCCCTTCCAGGTAGGCCCAAAACTGCTTGCTAGAGACATGCACACCCCACAGGGGCCAGCAGAAGAGTTCCCCGTTTCAGACACCCATATTGGGTGGGCCCAGAACAGCTTGCTAGAGCCACACGTGACCCGCAGGGCCACAGTGGAGGAGTCTACTACTCCGGACGGGCCCAGAACTGTTTGCTAGAGCCATGGGCATGCCACGCGCATCCAGCAGGCAGCGGCGGAGGAGTCCTTCACTCCTCATTCCCCTGCCCCCCTGGTTGCCCTGGTGGGACTGAACTAGGACTGATCCAGCCGCTGCTGTTCCCCTGCCCCCAGGTTGCCCCAGTTGCCCTGGCAGGGTGAACTAGGACTGATCTGGTTGTGTGCATGCCCTGCGCCACCGCTGCTGTTCCCCCACCCCCCGGTTACTCCGGCAGGGCTGAACTAGGACTGATCTAGCCTCTGCAGTTCCCCTGTCCCTTGGTTGCCCTGGCGGGGCCAAACTTGGACTGACCCTGCTGCGGGCATTCCCCACACAGCTGCTGCTGTTCCCCTGCCCCCTGGTTGCCCCAGCGGGGCTTATCAAGGACTGTTCTGGCCACTGCCATTCCCCTTCCCCCCAGTCGCCTCGGTGGGGCCAAACTAGGATTGATCTGGCTGCTGCCATTCCCCTTGCCCCCCGTCACCCTGGTGGGGCTGAACGAGGACTAATCCAGCCTCTGCCATTCTCCTGCCCCACTGGCCGTTCCCCTGCTCTCCCTCCCCATCACCCCAGCGGGACTGAAGTAGGACTGATTCAGCCGCTCTGATGCTCTTGTGCTCCACACAGCCACTGTCGTTCCCCTGCCCCCTGGTAACCCCAGCAGGGCTGAACTAGAACCGATCAGGCTGCATGAGTCCTCAGTGCCATCGCTGTAGGTCTGTAGGTCTCCTGCCCCCCAGTGGAGCCAAACTAGGACTGATCCAGCCGCTGCTGGTCTCTTGCCCCAACCCCCCCACCCATTGCCCTGGTAGGCAGAACAAGGTCTGATCCAGCTACACACACTCCCACGTAGCTGCTGCCATTCTGCTACTCCCCACTGGGAGAAGACGACAAACACAACCTGTCTCTCTGGGTAACCAGAAGAAGCCACTGACTGAATGGTTCTGATAAGGTCTCCAAACAGGGTAAACTCAACATGGGGCAGAATCAGAGGAAAAACGCTGGCAACTTGAATAACCAGAGTAGATCAATTCCCCCAAGGAAAAATGGGGCAGATGCAATTGAAGATCCCATCCATAAACAGATGGATGAGATGTCAGAAATCGAGTTCAGAATTTGGATAGTAAATAAGATTAACAGAATGGAAGAAAGGAGGGAATTAGAATTTTGAGAAATGATTCAAAAGATGTCTCAAGAATTCAATGATTTCAAAGATAAAATGACCAAAGATTCTGAAACACTAAGATAAGAGGTTGCAGCCCTCAAAGATCTGAAAGATATGGTGGAATCCCTCCATAACAGAGTGGAACAGGCAGAAGAAAGGGTCTCTAACATTGAAGACAAAGCTTTGGAACAAGCCCAGGAGTGCAAAGATCAAA